CCCTTGTTCACGAGCCACTTGAGGATAATGGACGTGTCGAGGCCGCCCGAGTACGCCAGGATCACTTTGTCCCCGCAGTTCGCTTGGACACTCATCGTAGCTTTTGGAGTCGGCCTTGTTCAGAGGAGATTCAGAAATGACCAAACAAGCGGTCGTCCGCGATGCATCCACAAGAATTTGATTGCCCAAGCGGGCAGCTCCCTGTCGAGTAGGGCACAGTCGGCGCCACTCAAGTTGAAGTTACCCTCTCGAGTCATGCGATTTGTCCCAGTTACGAGCCGTCATTATAACATTTTTGATATGTACTTGAATTTTGTATGCATGAAAATTGTTATAATATTGTCAGTGTTGGCAAGCGTTTCCTTATTCTGCCTGTCGCCTTGTCCACGAAAGTTGTGGCCGAGACAACTTGTGGCTGCCAAAAGAAGCATCACGATCCCCTTCCCACGACTCTGGGCACGAGCCCCACGAAGCCTTCCGAATCTTGAATTGTCCAACTCGAGAGGTCTGGGCCGTCGGCCTGTAGGGGCTGTATCCTCATCCATCATCTGGTGGGCTCCGCGCACTGTCCATTTTGCCCTTGCTCCAGGCCAACCAATGCCCACGGACGATCGTGCAATCAAGCGCACCTTGCGATCGCTCGTCGTGCCAAATAACTTGGACAGCGTAGGGATCTGTGCACATGCGAGTCGGACCCTATCGACTGCGCACGCACAAGGAAGGCATCGTCGGCCAAACCAACCAGCAGCAATCGAATGCAGGATTGTCACCAAAACCAGTTCGTGGGGACATCAAGCGATGTGTCGGAGTGCACCAGTGAGACACTGTGTGATTGGTTCAGATTCGCTGGTTGCACTTGGCAGACGACGAATTCCCATATTCCAGATGAAGGGGATTTCGCCATATTAGGCAAACCATGAATTCCCTCATTCAGTACAGCCCTGCCCATCTCGAGTTCACCGTGAAGGTAGGGAAAGCATATGTGGCGAATCCGCCTTCCGAGGAGGCTGGAGCGATTGCCAAACGAGTTGTCGACGAATTTCTTGTACATATTCCGTGTGAAAGCATTGGCAACAAACGTCACACGGCTTCGACTCCCACTCCACCTGTGAACCAATCGTCGCCATGGACTGAAATAAGGGTACTTTTAGGTGCCAGTGGCACGAAACCTTTTGACCCCCATGGAGTATGTCCCGATACTGATTTAAGAGAAAGACGAGTTTACGCGAGCCGAGTCGGATGCGGGGGTTGCAACTTATCCGTGGATACAAAGCGTGAAGAGTTCAACATGACCACCACTGGTGCCACCTTCACTGCACCGCCCGTGATGGGCACTCCCGTGCCTCCAGCCCCTGCTGCGAAGAAGAAGATCCCGCTTCTTGGCAAGCTCGTCGTTGGTGGACTTGCCGGCATCTTTGGTGTCTCTGTAACGTTCCCCATCGACATCGTCAAGACCAACTTGCAGAGTTCGACCACATTCACAGGGCCGATCCATTGCTTCCGAACGTTGTTGGCGAGAGATGGAGTGCGAGGGCTTTTCCACGGCCTTCCGCCAACGTTGGTCGGTGTCATTCCTGAAAAGGCCATCAAACTTGCCGTCAACGACTTTTTGCGCGAAATTCTCGACACAGACGGTTCGGGCGTGTTGCCGCTGTACAAGCAAGTGATCGCGGGGGGTGGCGCTGGAATGTGCCAAGTTGCCGCGACAAATCCGTTGGAAATTGTCAAGATTCGCATGCAAACGCAGAACCGCCTGCCCGCGGCCGAACGCATGACAGCCATTCAAGTGGTTCAGGTACTTTTCTCCGTTGAGTTTCGGGCTTCACACGCGGTCTAGGACCTGGGCTTGCGTGGTTTGTACAAAGGAACGGCTTCGTGCTTGTTGCGTGACATTCCATACGCCATCATTTTTTTCCCCATGTACTCGACGATCCGCGACCTCGGCACCGACAAAGATGGCCACATCTCGATGCCATCCGTTGTCTTGGCTGGGTCTGTGGCGGGCGCGACGGCAGCAGCTCTCGTGACGCCAGGTATGCACTTGAAAACATGTCGAGTGTCTCATCTCGGTGGATGGTTTGTCATGGTAGCTGACGTGATCAAGACCAAGCAACAAATGCGGGGTGCCACGTACAAAGGAACGATCGATTGCTTTCAGCAAGTCTTTGCTGAGGGCGGTGTTGCCGCTCTGTTTAAAGGTGCGCTTACAACTTTGCATCTTCTACAGTGGTTCGTGCTCACCCATGTCGTTCTAGGTGCTGGGCCCCGTATGATGGTGCAAGCGCCTCTCTTTGGCATCACGCTGTTGGCGTTTGAAGTCCAGAAAGCATACATGGAAGCGCATTAAATAACCAAACAATTCGACCTGCCTCAACCATCGCTGTCACGTATTTGATTCGTGTGCTGGAGCCTCGACGGTTGCATATGGCTGGACTGGGGACGACGGCGGCTCACGTCGCCGTCGTTCAATGTCGGCCACGCGCCACCACTCTGCGAACGAGTGAAAGGTCGCCCATGACGCCCCCTCCTTCTCTCCTTCAATACGCAAGGTGGTACTGCCCAAGGCAGACAGAACTGCCCGCCGAACGTTGGCCGCTCCTGCTTGACTCTGCTGCGTTCCAGCATCGAAAGCCTTGTACAATTTGTGCAGCTGCTTCAACGGGAGGGTCAAAATGCCTCGAAACTCTGCACTGAATGCATCTTCTTCCACCATGTGCGGCCACTCGACGGCCGCCTTGGCACTTGCGAGTTGCACCGCGGCGAATCGTTTTCGCATGCGATCCAGTACGGACGACCGTAAATGTTTGTTGAGCCGAGCAGAGCCCATGTGCATCGACATGGCATTCCCTGGCACGTGGTTGCGCAATGCCGCATACTGCAGTATGTTGCCGGGGGCTGCCACATCGCGTGTAGCCATGAGATCGAGACGCCGAACCAGCGGGACCATGTGACGCAGGCGCAAGTCGACCTGTCCATTCATTCGAAGCAAGACCTGGACAATTTTTGATCAGCTCCTCGGCCCCGAGAAGACAAGGGTCGTCCTACCAGCCTCGACACGCAGTCATGGGCAAACGTGACCCACGCACTTGCATGACGCGGTCGCGTTTCCACGGGCTCCCATGGAATGGAGACGTGAAATGCTGTCGTTCCAAATCGATTCGAGGCATCTCTGGCGCTCACCATCAATGACGTGGGTGCCGTCAGGTTGTTCACGGATATCGTTAGGGTCATGGTGACGGGGTCTACATGTGCCATGACTCACACAAGCTTGACGGACAAGCTCGTACCTCCATCAACCACAGCAACGTCCAACTTGCCAGAAAACACAACTTTGGTGTCGAGGGCGCCCCACGTCATTGTGGAAAAGTCGAGAAATTGCAAAAACACATCGACGGCACGCCTGGGCAGAGATGGAACATCGGCAACGAGTCCATTCATGTATTCCAGTTCCTTGTTTGAGAGTGTTGCGACAAACATCGTTTGTACTGCGCTGGACGGGTGCCAAGTTGCAGCTCGAGGAGGACGGTTGTCGTCGTTGGGATGACAGCTTTCCAGCGGGAGATGCGCGTGCGACGGCTTGGCCTGCCGCGCCGCGCGCATGCGGTCGTTTGCATACGTTCTCCACATGGCTCCTTTGGGTTGTGCTTGTCGCTTTCCAGAGCTTCGGGTCGGATCGATGTGCATGAGGCGGTCGAGCACATGCGACGAATGACAGAGATACAAGGCGGGGCCATACACGACGGACCGAGTCAATCCTGATGCCCGAACGTTGGGCTCACTGTCGGTGGATGGGTTAGCTATTGCAACGACATGGCCATGCAGCGCGTCGAGCAGATCGAGGTCGGTAGATCCAAGGAGACGTGAAAGCACCGCAAAGTCCACTGGTTCTTGAATGAACACTTCTTCAGGTGCATTGCCAAGCTCAACTGGAATGACAAGTTGGAATGCCAATCGGAGAACGGGAGGCAGAGGGGTTGCCGGGTGTGGCGGCGCGTCGACGGCCCGTATTTGCACCACCGCCTGTGCAAACGGACCACAGAGGATGCTGTGATAATGTCGAATTTGGCTCTGGTTGCATTGCTCGATCTCGTCCAACGCGCTCTGAATGCCATCCTGCAGAGCAGAAAACGCATGATCCAGGACAGTGAATCGCACGACACCGCGCTGTTCACGGCTCACAAGTCCAGAACACCCGAGTAGATCGTCCGGGGACTGAAGCAGCGAATGCACCTTGGTCATAACTTGACAGATGCAGCGCCACGACGGCAAGTTCATGTGCTCTATACATGTGGCCCACAGGGAATCGGGATGTGCCAGGTCGGATGTCGTGCCACACAGCCAAGCGAGGGCTCGAGCCCTAGCCACTTCGCGGGAGATGTGGCGAGGATGAAATGTATGCTCCTCGAGAACATGCGACACATCGACGTGGTACGTCACAACGATTCCGATCGCTCTTGCATACACCTCGACTTTCCAGATCTACAATAAGATAGTCAACCAACTGCCTTCCTGCGACGTATCTCCACTGGTTCGTACGCCGTCATCGTGAGTGCGTTGGATCGACAAGTCGACTTGTACTGGACGAGCAAACATGGCGACTTTGGTCCATGTCGCCAGGACGAGGTGGGCGGATGGTTTGTGTTGCCTTGTCGTGGGCTCGAGGTACTCGACGGACGGCGCGTAAGGAAACGTGTAAACCCACATGAGGCCATGGCCAATGCTCAAACTGTATAGCTTGGGTGATTGCGACGCATCTTCTTCGATATCGACGGTCAGGATGACTTGGCTGGCTAGCCATGTGCGTTGTTTGTCCAAATGCCGTTGATGCACCGACATGAAAACGTCCGCCATCATTTCTAAGCGACGTTGGGTCGACCTCAACTCACTCGACCACAGCGCAAGCGTGGTCTCTACTTGCCTGCCATCACATCCATACCACACCGCCTTAGATACATCCCAACCGAGTCGATGGTTCATTTCCCCTACCGTCGCTGTTCCAAAGCCACGGCACTGCGCGTCAACACCTCTTCCGCGTCCATCTCAGAGCGTCG